TTGCCAGTGTGGTTTAATTTACATTGGCCAAACTAAGACAGCCTTAAAATTTCGCGTCAAAGAACATGAGGCATATGTTAGAAAAAAGGAAACACAGAAGGCTTCTGTTGCTCAACATTGTTGGTCCGAGGGTCACACTTTCAATTTTTCTGCTGCCAAAATTATTCAAAAAACATCTTCCATTGGAGAACTGGATTTTCTAGAGGCATTTCACATTCATAAAAATCTTTCTGTTCTAGTTAACGATCCTAATTCCAATCCAAATTTGCCTTCGGCTTTTAGAGAAATTATGTTTTAGTTCTGGTTTCGCCAACAGATGGCGCCACTTGCCTATTCTTGTCCAGGCTTTCTTATCTTATCTAATCATTATTTCCTATCTTGTTCATTTGCGGTTTTGCAGCTGAAGATGATGGTTCGGTAAAACCATCGAAACTAGTCCTGTGAAAATTTTGTAGGTATAACGCTGATTTTTGTTGTTTGACTTCTGAATTAGTATTTATTTGGCGTGTTATTGTGTCTTAATTATAGAAGCCCCAAACAGGCTTACATTTTGCTTTCTTTTTGCACGTGGTGTGGCCGCCATTTTGTGATTGTAGGAGTTTCGGTGAGTACATTTTTGCAATTTTCAAGTTATGTTTATGTTTTGTACATTTAGATATTGTGCTTTGCTTGTCTGATTTCATGCATTTTGCTTACAAACGTTTTGTTTTCTATTCATTTCAGTGAGGGATTTTTCTGTGTTTTGTGTGTACTTTATTATTGCTCAGTTAATTTGGTTTGATTTTCTGCACTGTTTATCATGCCTTCATCCATTAATCGTTTCACTAAATTACGCCTGAAACGGCAAAAATTCCTGAATCATCTTGAATTTTTACTTAAATGTAAATGTAAAAATTTGATCCCTAATTTTATTCAAATCAAATCTAATCAAAAACCTTCGAGTCGCGTTTCAAGAATTCTGTTAAATTGCAAGCTTGCCTTACTTCGGTCCGTGATAAGGGATACACATCAACAATTGTCCAAAATTGAACATGAACTCTATAAGCTTCATTTGGAACTCACTAAATCATATCCAAAATTCACTGCCCTTGAACAAAAGTCTTGGTCTAGAATGGAGAATGCAGTTAACCATCATAAAAACACCCATGCAGTTAAATTCGAAAAACTTCTTTTACAGTCTTCCAGTTCAAGTAGTTCAAAAAAACTTCCCATTGTAAACATCAAGCCAATAGTTAATATTTCTAATGTTAGTCTTTCAGAAGAACAAGAGAGAATTCTAAAATATAATTTTAACTTCTCACAAACCTGTAAACCCTCGATTCCAAAGATTTTGGCTCCTATCGAAAAAGCTTTCAAGTTCAGTAAAGTTTCAGATTCACAGAAAGAAATGATTAGGCATCTTATCGCTCATAATGTGAAATTCAATAATAAACCTTTGAAACCAAATCTAACTGCGAGAGAAAGAGCTACAATGCGCGAAATTCATTCTAACCCGGATATTATCATTTCAAAGGCCGACAAAGGCGGCCAGATAGTCGTCATGGATAAGAACACTTACATCGATGGTGTCACTAAACTCTTAAACGAAGGACCATATAATCTGATCCCTAAAGATCCTTCACCTTCGGACTTATCCAAAATAAAAACTGCGATCAAATCTTCGCAAATCATTTCAAGCAACTTAAAACATTCGCTTATCCCATCTGTTGCGAATTGTGCCAGATTATATGCTCTTCCCAAAATTCATAAAAGTGGTATTCCTTTCCGCCCTATTGTATCAAATTTAGGTACTGCCTCGTATCCTTTAGCTAAATATTTGGTTTCTAGATTTTCCACTCTATTAGACAATAACATTTACACCATAAAAAAAATTCAATAGAGTTTGTAAAAAAGGTTAAAAACATTTCTCCTAGCAATTTACTCATGGTTTCTTTTGATGTAAAATCATTATTCACCAATGTCCCAGTGGAGGGGTGCATTAAGATGTCTAGAAACCAGACTTCGCGAATTTCATTTCTCTTGCATCGAAATTGAGGAGCTAATTTCTCTCACTCAACTCTGTTTGAAACAAACACATTTTGTTTTCCAAAAATAAATATTACAAACAAACTGAGGGATTAGCCATGGGAAGCCCCCTCAGTCCCATCCTGGCTGATATCTACATGCATTATTATGAATCAAAATTGTTTGAAACTTTAAACTTCCCGGCATGGTTCCGCTACGTAGACGATACTTTTACCCTGTTTGAAGGTAATAAAGATGATTTAAATAAAGTTCTTTCAACAATGAATTCTATTGATCCTGCTATTCAGTTCACTTTTGAACTTGCAATTTCTCTTCCGTTTCTCGACATTCTGGTCACACGTAACACATCCAACTTCAGTACTACAGTTTACCGTAAACCTTCATCGGTTTGCCTTCCACCACACTTTAAATCATGTCATCCGACTAAACAAAAGTTAGCTTCATTTTATTCCTATGTTTTCCGTGCTCTTCAAGTTTGCTCCTCCAAATTAGCCCTTGATGAAGAACTAAATTATTTAAAAGCAATAGCTATTGACAGGGGCTTTTCACCCAACATTATTAATCAAGCAGTTAAAAAATTCTCATCTGAACACACTAAAAAGCCACACTCTTATTTTAGGAGATTATAAAAAATTCTGTTGTCATTCCCTTCTTTCCATCAATTAGCTATAAAGTTGCACATATTTTGCAGAAATTTAACTTTCGGGTTGTTTATTCTCCCATCAATAAAATTCCAACTTCTATACTCAAGGACCCCATTCCGGATATGAATTCCTGGGGTATTTATAGGATTCCTTGCCAGTGTGGTTTAATTTACATTGGCCAAACTAAGACAGCCTTAAAATTTCGCGTCAAAGAACATGAGGCATATGTTAGAAAAAAGGAAACACAGAAGTCTTCTGTTGCTCAACATTGTTGGTCCGAGGGTCACACTTTCAATTTTTCTGCTGCCAAAATTATTCAAAAAACATCTTCCATTGGAGAACTGGATTTTCTAGAGGCATTTCACATTCATAAAAATCTTTCTGTTCTAGTTCACGATCCTAATTCCAATCCAAATTTGCCTTCGGCTTTTAGAGAAATTATGTTTTAGTTCTGGTTTCGCCAACAGATGGCACCACTTGCTTATTCTTGTCTAGGCTTTCTTATCTTATCTAATCGTTATTTCCTATCTTGTTCATTTGCGGTTTTGCAGCTGAAAATGATGGTTCGGTAAAACCATCGAAACTAGTCCTGTGAAAATTTTGTAGGTATAACGCTGATTTTTGTTGTTTGACTTCTGAATTAGAATTTAGTCCATATCAATATAAGTTTTAGGACCTTAAGTAAAAGGATTTATTGAAAAAATGCAAACTAAGAAAACGCAGTTTAAAGAATATAAACTGTCTAAATGGTCATAAAATCATTTCAAATTTCTTAAAAACTTTATTTCTGAATTTAAAACATTTATAATCAATAATTAAACATTTATAATTAATATTAATAATATTAATTTGTTGTTTTATTCATTTTTTCATAAAGCAAAGTTTGAAATTTTAACATTTTATTTAAAACATTTTATTTAAAAGCGTTCAGCAGCATAGAAGATTTCTTCTTTTAACCATTTGATCTTGTACATAAATTGCACTTGAAATTAAGTAGGTGTATTTTCATTAATTTAAGAGTTAATGGCACTCTGATGGCATTCTATAGCAATAGTAAACAATGTCAAAAAAGATGTAAGTAAACATTAGAAATCCACCAATCTGTTTGTTCTTTTCGCGTGTGTAACATCATTAAGACGATGTGCATTGGAACCGGTCCTGGGGGCAAAACTGTTTCATATCCCCATTTCTCCCTAATATAAACGGTAGCTGCATGAAAGAGTGTTGCAGCTGAACTGCTGTTTTTGCGCAGCTTTTTTTTCAAACAGTCTAAAAGTGTTCATTAAATCCACATGCTATTGCTTTTTTCCATTTCTAGGTAGTCAACCTTAATCATCACTTGAGAATAAAAAAAAAGCATTGGCCATTCAATAGGATAATCTTTTGCCATTTTCAATGAATTCTCAGCCATCCACTCACTGATTTGAATCAAAGAGGGTTTTAGTAGATCATGTTTCACATATAGTCACAAAATGGGAAAAAAACTCCTGCAAATTGAAATTAAACATCACCAAATGCTGTTTTGAAATCTTTCGTATACATTCTTGGTTGATAATCAACAGTTTCAGTAATGATTGTATACTCATTCATTTAAAATTCACACACTGTAAGTAATCTTGTATACTTTTCTTTGCTGGTCTTCCATAATCATGGAATTTTTGACAGATATCAACAGTGGCGGCTTCAACTGAATATTCGCATTATGTTTTAGTTTTAGCCTATCTTCACTCACATTGAAATTTATTTATTCAGAAGTAAACAGTCTTCAGAGTTGGAAAAGAATCTTAGTGAGCTTCATACAACCACATTTTAAGTTAGGTTCATTTCTTGAGGGGGGTTACGAAGAGTTGCACGGATAGTTACACTAACTTGTCTTCTGTCTGACAACAGACTTTCTGAGCACTAAAGCCTTTAACATGCATGGTTGTAGAAGGGTTCAGGGTTTGGCTATTGCTCCGATTCCAAAGTAAACTTGACGGACTTCTTTTCTTAAGTTCTTCAGTGAAAAGACGCATTAAATTCCTCCCGTGTCTTATTTTTACTAACAGCATACAGCCTGCTGTTCTTTCGAGATGTTAGGTCTGTGGGAAAGGAATTTCCAGGCTGGCAGTTGATTAAAAAAATTTATAGAATATGAACAATGCTCTGTTATTGGCTGAAACGTCGCCCTAAACTAATTTTAAGAGTGATACTCATCCACAATGTAATCAATTAAACTGCAGCAGCATCTTCAAGAAATGTTTTAAACTCATTGAATGACCCCTGCAATCTAATTTTTATGTATAAAATAATAAACTTAATAAGAAACTAAAATAAGAAAATCAGACTTACATTTACAAAATCTCCTCCTTGAATCATAAAATCCTTGATAACTCTGAAATTAAAGTTGAAACCTGAATTTATTTAAAATTAAAAATGAAAAGTAAAACTATTTGAAATTTAAGAATTAAATTAATTTTTACAACAAGAATACTGGAAGCAGTTGGGGTACGGACCCTTGAATTTTGTAAAGACAAAGAACTAATTTTTTCCCCAGCTATGTTTATAAAATATCTAGAACGTCCATTGCAAGCATATTTTACATCATGATTACTCCACCATGCTACATTATAAACATATTATGTCCAATTTTATTGAATAATAATGGATTATGAACAAATAAATAAGTTTTAAAACATTTATAAAATTGCAATTTTCATGTAAAAATTTTCATACAAATTCAAATGATAATTTATCAGAGTTCTGATTTATAACTAACTTTATAACACATCATTTCAGAATCTTGCAGTTATTAAAGCACATTTCAAAACGGATGATAATATTTAAGTTCATAATTTTCAAGCTGTTCCTGTTGACTAAGCTGTATAATAATTACACAATGTATATGCAGTTCTGGTCAGATTACTTAATTCTTAACTCATAAGGTATTTTCTCCCTCCCTTGCACATGCTTTCATGATGTAATCACAAGCATACTTGATGCATATTTGAGAGGTCCAGGGTTCAAGGTCCGGCGAGTGCACTGTATATTTTTCACATCTCCTGCTTCAAAAAAACCTATTTACCCTACAAGCTAGTCAGGAAATTTCAAGGATACAATCTTCTTTTAAATAGACTTGTCTTCACTACAATAAATAATAAATATATCACCATGAGTTTTGGAATTATTTAAGTTTAAATCTGAACCTTATTAGCTTCAAAATATAAATGGATCATGTTCCTAAAAACAGCTGAAGTACTTTAATTTTGTTTTCAAGACAGTCAAGGTCATACTTTGAACACACTATCATAATTTTTATGAAAAAGATTATTGCTTTTTACACAAGAGTGCAAAACTTAAGCAGCAAATTCATTTGTTAATATATACAATCATGAAATTGCTGAAATGGCTTTTTATGGTCAGTGCAATGAAAGTCAACTCAGTAGAAAGATGATGTGTATGCAAATATCAGCACCATGACATTAGAGGGTTTGTCAGGTCATGCAATTAGAAATCACAATTAGAAAAAATACATACATTTAAAAATCTGGCTATGGTATTACCATAAATTGATATATGTATATTTTGAGGAATGCCTAAGTACTCTACAAAATGCCACAATTTTTCAACATCATAATGTCCACCCAAAGACAGCATACGTCTCTATGGACTTTCTCCTCAATGTAGCAAGCCCACATAACTGTCCTAATTGTCCAAGTCCCCCCTTCCATAGAGCATGTCTTCAACATGGTTAGCCTTTAACTCTAGCCATTGTAAGGCAAGTCTGACTTGGCTGGGCAATTATATCAAATCTGGTGAGAGATCTCTTAACACAATATTAGAATATTAATTTAGAAGTCAAACAACAAAAATGAGAGTTATAATTTCAAATTTTCCCAGGACTAGTTTCGATGGTTTTACCGAACCATCATCCTCAGCTGCAAAAGTGCAAATGAAGGAGATAATATAAGAAAAGAAAGCCTGGACAGGAGATAAGCCACTGGCGTCATCTGTTGATGAAACCAGAGCTAAAACATAATTTCTTTAAAGGCTGAAGGCAAAGATGGATTGGAATTAGGGTCATTAACTAGAACAGAAAGTTTTTTTTTTAATGTGAAATGCCTCTAGAAAATCCAATGGTAGGTGTTTTTTGAATACTTTTGGCAGGAGAAAAATTGAAAGCATGATTTTCAGACCAACAATGTTGGGCAACAGAAGACTTCTGTGTTTCCTTTTTTCTAACATATGCCTCATGTTAGAAAAATTACATAAACAGCTTATGGAGACTACTGATGCCTGTCAGGCCTTAATGACATTTAACGATTTTTTCACCAGCTTAGCAACATTTTGGAAGTTTCCAGAAAACATACTTTCAAGATCCTACAATAAGTTTTTCTATAATGCTTAGGTATCACCATTCCTTTTTCTGTCTACAGTATAAATAAGATGCTGTGAATTTAGCGTTTACTGGGTACAAATTCAACTAACTGCTTTGAAGTGATTTTACAGTTTTAAGAATTTGTCTTATGCTAAAAGAGAAATACAGTGCTAGCTCTCCTTGAGCAGACTTTTCTTCATAAATACAAAAATGTTATTGGCTGTAGGTTGAAATAAATTTTCAATGTTTCTTCTTTACCTGTCTTTTTTCTTTAACAGATCTTTATGGACCAATCACCTACAACAATCTTTTTTACAAAAAACATAAACTCAATTCTTTCATCAATGACAGTATATTATTAATAATATACAATCAACAGGTGACTATTCTTGGAAATATTCCTGAAGTATTCTCCTGAAACATTTATGATATCTATATGAATGATAAGGCTGTTTTTAATTTCCCTATGAAGGTAATCATCATATATGCACGTGATCACCTAAATCAAAGCCCCTTCCCAAAACAAAAAGAAAATTTGAAGAAAGTGCAGAATTGCCCACTGCTTGGTGCGCTTTTCAAAATCGCCAACTTGGCGCGCTCTCGCGTCTTGTCTCCTGGATTTGCAACCCCTCCAGAAGACACTAACACAAGGTGCAACATTAACAATGGCGAACAGGTCAAATAAGTACAATATAAAAGTTGAAGCAAAATTTTGAAAACTGGAAATCCTTTAAAAACAGCATAATAATTTTAAAAAACAAATATGGTTAAGAAACATAGTAAGCTTCAAAAACTTAAAATCGTTACAAAGCCCTGAAGAATTAAAATTCATTCACCTATAAAAAAATTGGGGAAAGTGCAGTATCACTCACTGCTTGACGCGTTTTTAAGAATTTTACAAACTCTCTATCCATGTACACACCGACCTATTTACACTTAAAAAGAAAATCCCAGAATTGAACAAAAATGGCATTGCATACTCCTTTGACTTTATTCATGTACACTTTGACCTATTTTCACTTAAAGGTCAAAAATCCAATTCCTCTTCCTCTTGTAAAAAGCGGCAAACAAATAAGTGGGAAATTTTTAAAACTGGAAATCCTTTCAAAAAAAACCTAATAACTTTAAAAACTAAAATCATTTCAAAAACAAAATAAGTTTAAAGAACATAAAATCCTTAGAAAACCCTGAAAAATTAATACTTTCACTTCCAAAAAATTTTTAAATATGAAAATCCAGTCTTTACAAAAACATAGTTTTAAAAACTAAGAATCGTTTAAAAAAACATAGTAAATTTCAAACACTTAAAATCGTTACTTAATTTAAAATACTTTCACTTACCTGAAAGTGGGTTATCCACTCCGCTCAGCCAATGAACAAAAAGTAACGAATTCTCAAAATGTTCTCAAATTATTGTTTAAAATAACTGCACCTCTACCATCTATTATCATCTGCACCAATCAGAAATTCTAAATTTTAAAATACATACTGAGCATGCGAAAAAATACTCCGAATTTCGCGCTCAGAATAAATTCTCAATTTTAAATACATACTACGCATGCACGAAAATGCTCTGAAATTCGCCTTCCAGAATGGCAAAATCGACTTGGATACCACATTTGGTGCACTTATCAATCTCATAGAAAGCCCCAAATAAGTGGGCGATTCTGCACTTTAGCCGAAAATTTTATGTTATTAGCAAATACAACCTGTAAAGGAACCAGTTAAAAAAAAGAGAGAGAGTGAGACTAAGATACTACCTATGAAATATAGAGCCTTTGTATCCAATTGGAACACCATCTTTTTTATATTCCCCAGTACAAAACTGCCTAGAAAGGAGGAAAAATCATGTAACTGAAGAAAAGCTTTGATGCATAATGACAAATATTTTTACTACAGATAAGAAATACCTTCCATATTACCAAAATGAGACTATTTATTAAAATTTACAAATATACTACATATTTGATCTTAAAGACATAGTAATATATAATTTGTAAATCAGCATATGTATTTAGGTTAATAAAAAAATATTAACAGAAATATAGTATGTATAAACATAGCCACACAGGGGAAAAACATTAAGGCTGACTAAATATTTCATGATAATACACTATATTTACTTCATGATTATTGCAACAAAGTGAAATTAATATTTAAAAAATTGCTCCATGTACAGTAATGATTGTACAATAAGAATCCTATTTTCATATGTGTAATAATTTGTAGACCAGTAATATCAGCACTAAATAAAATCTTGCCAATTAAATACTTTTCGTATACAATGATATTTAAAAATTCCCAATCTTGTACTACTAATATTTGATTATGTGTTCTGCCTCTGCTTACTATTTCTTCCTGAAAAATTATTTTTTCTTCTTGTTTTCTATGGAAGTCATTTTCACGATCTGCAGTTTATTTAAATGCATAATAGAGTAAAACATTATATAAACTAAAATGGTAAATACTAAGTAAAAGCAACACTTCCTGAGAAACTTTATATGCCTTTTAATATGTATCAGGCATTCTATTACAGCTTAATCTTGTTATTACTCAATCATGTTTCACTGCAGATTTCCAATACGTTTATTGATATAAAAAAGTTGAGCAACTCTTTAATGCACTTAAATGTTCATGAAATTGAAATTTTTCCTTCGCCTAACTTTACTCAAACTTTAGATTCATATACAAATATCAACAAATTGTTTGCTAGATAGTTCCATAATTTTTTTTTTCTGTTAGCCAAACAAAGCTACACACACTCAAACCTGTTTTTGTGTGGTCTTTTTTTATGCGATTATGCAGTCCCTATTCATCGCATAAAAAAAATACTTTTCAATTAAGTTACGAAGACTATTTTTGGTTAGGGTAAACTTTTAGGCACCCCTTGTATTATGGAGAAGTTGTTGTTTCATTTATGGTAGCCTAAGTAGTTGAATGTTATAGAAGCCCTACTGTGACGTAATCGGGTGCATGATTCCGGGAAATTTTGAATCATGGGATGTTTTGTAAGTGCTTTTGTGGTGTGTGTTGGTTTCATTGTTTAGATGGTAGAATGGCTGGATGTAGTAGTATTAATTTAAGTTTCTGTACGATTTGCAATGAAAGAGAAAAAGAGCATTAATTGACTGGTGTGTAAATGAAGGTTCACTTAATAGCCATTATAAGTGTCCTGTATGTAGGAAGGATATGCGTCTAGTAGAATGTAAAAACCATTTAAATGGATTTGAATGGGTTTGTAGGGAAAACGTTCAGATGTTGCGAAGCCGATATACGGATTCGAGTTCAGATAATTTTAGGAAGTTTTTGGATGCTGTTTTGGATGTTTGTGTGCCACAAACTAAAGCTGAAGGAACTTCTAAATAGGGTAAGTGGATATTTGCTTTTTGTAGTGCTTAAAAATATAACATGCTTTTCCTTTTTTGTTATTTTATTGTTTAGTTTAAAATGTAGTTTATTGAGATTATGTATTTTTTGTTTGCCTGTATTGTAGATCTGGGTGCTCTTTTGACTTTTTAAGTGAAAATATATCGATGTGTACATGGACAAAGTGAAGGGAGTGCACAATGGAAGTTTGTGCAGTACATGGATTTTTTTTTTTTTTTCAAGTGAAAATATGTCGATGTGTACACAGATAAAGTCAAGGGAGTACACAATGCCATTTTTATGCAATTTGGGGATTTTTTTTTAAGTGAAAATAGGTCAATGTGTATATGGATACCGAGTTTGTGCAATTCTTTGTCTTGTCATTTTGGCTTTGTGTAGCAGCAATTTTTGGCACAAAATTCGCTGTTATGCAAGCCAAAATAATAAATCAAAGAACTGCACAAACTTGGTATCCATGTACCGCCAAAAATCGCCAATGGGTACGCTAAAATATATTTTTATCCTATTTTTTATAGCTACACTCAAACCTGTTTTTATGTAGTAAATAGGGATTGCATAATCCCACAAAAACAGGTTTGAGTGTATAAACATGTTCTACCATTATTACCAATATGTATTCACCAATCCAATTTCTTTTACATAAGTTTTATGCAAGATCTTGTTCAGACAGGTTTGCTCTTCATCATCCCCTACAGTGTGAGTGTTTGTTATATAACATTTTAGTTTCAAATTATATGCTATATATCACATTAATTTTATTACTTATTATTTATTACCCTAGATACCATTATAATAGATTATTTAGTTCAGATGATGAATGTTTAGAATATAGCAACAGCGATTCAAAAATTTGTGCTGTTTCTGAAGATGAAAATAGTCATGAAATTTCCTCTCCTAAATATTCAATGGTCATTTTTCTGCTTGCAATGGGTACAATTTTTTTCTTGTAGTAAGAATGTGGAGTTTGCTGTATGATGAAAAAGAAAGCTAGTCAAATGTAGCTAGCTAGTTATTTATCTTCAATATTAAAATATTATGCTAGTTGTCCAGTTCATGACTAGTATATCAACTGCTCTTAGATTATTCGGTACTTTTCCGTTTTGCCGGCGCAAGCGATAAAGTCGCCAATAATGGTACAACCGATGCCAAACGGAATATTCTCGCTGGTAACCTTTTACGCCTCATTTTCAAAACAAGTCGCAGCTTTTTCTTATCAGATTGATTGTTTCTTTCAATACTGGCATATAATTACATAGAATTTTTATCAGATAGTTCAGTTTTATGTCTAAGGCCATTTTCGGTAATTAAGTCAATTAGGATGCAATCACAGCTCTTACCCGAAGCCGAAAATATAGAAAAGGTAAAGTCAAGGGTTAAATTCATCAATTCTAATGAGAATGCATTAGCGAAGTAAAGCACTGCAGTTTTACATAATTTCTGAGTAAGCTATTCGTACGCATTGAAATATTTCTTGCATTTAAACTTGTGTTCCAAAAGTTCTTGTGTTAACTTGAAATTAATGTAGATAATTACTGAAAGCATTAGATTTTTGTAGAGTAGTTTACGTGAGATGAGATCGCTTGGGGTCACATGATATGAACCGGCGAATCAGGATGTTGAACCATGAAAGCATAGTAAATTTTTAAATTAATGTCTTTTTACAGATTTATTGTCTTTATTTATTGGCTTTTTTATAAAGTTTTAAGCGATATTAAAATGTTTATGCCTTCAAAATAAAGAATTCTTAGAACTAAAATTTTTTAAATATTTTTTAGGTGTATACTGTATATTGTCGCCAATAAAGTCTGTTTGGCAAGATTTGCGCCGGCGAAACGGAAAAGTACCAATTATTCTTATAATAGCTGGTGATAACGCCAAATTTGTGCAATTTTCTGATTTTTTTTTAAAATGAAAACGGAACACTGTATACATGACAAAGAACAGTGGAAAAAAAAATATGTATGAATTTCTTGAAAAGGTAAGTATTTTGCTTTAGATGGTTTCTTTTTTCTTTTTTTAAATTGTTTTTTTAACTTTTATTGATTGATAGCTCTTTTATGGAATTCTTAGTATGCAGGGATAGCTGTTCTTCTTTGCATATTAGATTGGAAAAAATTAGTTGCCAATCAGTTAGCGACTTTTTAGGTAGAAGGATGTGTTTAGTCAGAAAGTAGTAGCCTAAATTAAAATAATCTAAACATCAACAGTAAGTCCTAACAATAAAATATATAAAAAAATAGAAACACAAAAAATTAAAAGGTATTTCTGAAACATTTTTTAAAGGAGGGAAAAAAAGGAATGCATATAATATTTATGTAGGAATGCATTAAAAATTTAATCAAATACATTTTTATTGTGTATGTGTATGTGATACTTATTCATATAAGATGATTACAAAACAATATGTACGATTTTTCAAAAACTTTAATTTTGCAATAAAAGCCAACTAATAATTTTGAAAATTTATACATGGCAAGCACATTTTTATTTACGTTTTAAAAAGATCTGCATTTGTGTTGGGAAGATTAAAAACCTGAAATTTTACTTTTCACATGCAATCATTTAAATTTTAATTATCAAACATAAATAAATAAGCAATATGCTTATTAATAAATAACAGATCAAGAACACTATAAGCTTTTGTAAAAAGTATCTGCAAAATGAAAAATTTTAAATACCTGAAATTTTCAGCTGTTTTCGGCACTACATCCGAAAATAACTCCATTTTCATTCTTCCTACTTCCTATGACATGTGAATAAATGTATTAAAGAATATGTCATTTATTAAGCTATTCCTATTATTAATCACATTACAAATGTAAAAATGTCATTCCCCTCATAAATTTACATTATATTGACATAATGTATTACATCGAATCATTTACAGAAACTTACTGTAGATCCAATCGTTATATCAAAGAAAACCACAGGATTATTAGGGTGACGAAGTTGCTGCTGTATTTGATTCCAAGTAGCCATTTTATTCTGATATATAATACCTAAATCTTATAAGCATAGAACAGTTAGTTATTTTTTTAAAAGACAAACACATTAGACAACTGCCTTATTTTGCGTCCGCTCGATCTTTCTGCCGAAAACATATTTACCGCTAAATATTTTCCAAAACTGAAACATGTTATTTTCATTGAACAAAATTTAATTTTAGATAATTTTATACAAACAAAAAGTAAATTATGTAGTTTTTGGAAAATGAATTACTCCTCTGTCTGTTTCGACACATATGTTTGGATGCTATAATTTTAGACTTATAGGTTTAATAATTGTGGCAACAACTTTTTATTTGAGCTGTCTGCTATAAGCTTTTAATATTTACATATGCGAAGCTCCTCGTGCGTTGAAATGATTTAAATGATCTGAGTAATATGGACGTAGAACAAAATAACATTTATAGCGGACTATTGAAAAAAATAGACGAAACGGAATGTTTAATTCAAGAATGCAAAAATTTACCTGATATATCTGGGAAGGCAAAGTTGTTAAGAAAGATAGAAGCCGAACTTAAATTTCTGAAACGAGTAAGTAGTGTACGTCGTCCTTTTTTTTTTTTTTAATCTGTGTAATGTATGTCTTCTCTAAGCTCATAGTGTGGAAACATATATATAGCACCTATATGTATATTGAAATTATTTTTTGATATGCAATTTAATAATTGTATATATTATTTTGTTATTGGGTAATAGTCTAATGTGTGATTCTGTTATTTGGTAAAATCTGGCGTAGTGTTTTTTTTTTTTTTTTTTTCCCTGTCTCTCTCTCTCTCTCTCTTCTTTTTTTTTTGGGGGGGGGAGTGGAAGGGTAATGCTAATAAATTTTGAAAACATAATGTAGTTTATTCATTATATAAGCATTAAGAGAAGGTTGAAAAAGACTTCTTTTCAAAATTTGACACATGTGATAAATTCAAAGTTTGCTGTATTGCTTTACTTTATACTCTGAAAAATTAATAAATCATAAGTGTTTAAACTCTAAATTCCATAAAATAAAATTCAACAAATATTAACTTAAAATTGATGGTAATCTATAACAACATTATTAAAAAAGTGATAATAATGTTGGAAAAGAAAAAATATATCCATTTTCGTTCCATTTCACCCATTTTCATATCATTTTCAGAAGAGAAACTGATTTCAAGAGATTTTCAGCCTCGAAATTGAATGGGTTTTCTTAAAATCTATGCCAAAGTAACGCTGAACGAAAAGGGAAGAGTGCATTAATTGACTAGTGTGTAAATGAAGGTTTACTTACTAGCCATTATAAGTGTCCTGTTTGTAGGAAGAAAATGTGTATGGTTGAATGTTAGAGGATATTTTTGACTTTTATTTTTGTGAATTTATGTGATGACGGCGATATAAGAATTCTAGTTCAGATAATTTTAGAAAGTTTTTGGATGCTGTTAAGAAATTTTGTGTGCCACACTTTGAAGGATTCAGAAATTTCTGAATAAGGTAAGTGGATATTTGCTTTGTGTAGTGCTTAGTTACATAAGATGAATTTCCTTTTTATGTTATTTTATTGTTTGATTTAAAATGTAGTTTATTGAAAATATCTATTTTTGGTTTGGCTGTGCTGTAGAATTGGGTGCTGCTTTGACTTAAGTGAAAATAGATCGATGTGTACATGGACAAAGTCAAGGGAGTGTGCAATGCCAAGTTTATGCAATTATCTTATGTTTCTTTAAGTGAAAATTGGTCGATGTGTACATGGCTTGTGCATTTCTTCTACTTGTTATTTTGTCTTTGTTTAACAGTGATTTTTATTGCAAAAATCGCCGCTACTTAAAGCCAAAATAACATGTCAAAGAACTGCACAAACTCGGTATCCATGTACAGCCAAAAATTGTCAATTTTGGCCAAGGGGAATTTGTAAATATATTTTTATCAAACAGTTATGTATGATTCAGATCCATTCTGCTAATTTGTCAAATATTTCAATATAATATAGGAAATGTTTAATGTCATTGTCTTTGATAGTTTTGTATAAGAGCAATTTTATTAAAAGAATACTTCTGCTTTATTTTACCTTTTTAAATCGTAAAAAATTCATCAGATTTATAACTCATTTAAAGAAAAAAGCATGTTTTGATTGTTTGCACTTCCACTGAAAGCTCTATAACAGAGTTTCTTAAATTGTAGGTGGCGGTTGTGGGACCTGCAGTAGAGGATAGCCAAAATTTTAGCAGTTTTGATATTTCGGTACTTTTCCGTTTTGCCGGCGCAGACAATAAAGTCGCCAATAATGGTACAAGTGATCCCAAACAGAATATCCTCGATGGTAACCTTTAACACCTCATTTTCAAAACAAGTCGCAGCCATTTCTTATCAGATTGATTGATTCTTTCAATATTCGCACACAATTGCGTGGAATTTTTACCAGATAGTTCAATTTTATGCCCTAAGGCCACTCGCGGTAATTAAGTCAATTATAATGCAATTACACCGCTCACACGGAGGCAAAAATATAGAAAAGACAAAGTCAAGAGTTAAATTCATCAATTCTAATTGAGAATGCACTAGCGAAGTAAAGCACTGCGGTTTTACATAATTTCTGAGTAAGCTATTCGTACGAATTGAAGTAATTCTTGCATTTAAACTTGTATTCCAAATTAACTTGAAATTAATGTAGATAATTACTGAGAGAATTAGATTTTGTGTAGTTAATAAATCTAATTCGCGTGAGATGAGATCACTTAGGGTCACGTGATATGAACAGGCGAATCAGGATGTTGAATCATGAAAGCATAGTAAATTCTTAAATTAATGTATTTTTACAAATTTATTGTCTTTATTTATTGGCTTTTTTAGAAAATTTTAAAGGTTATTAAAATGTTTATGCCTTCAAAATAAAAAATTCCTAGAACTAACATTTTTTATGCGTATACTGTATGTTGTCGTCAATAAAGTCTGCTTGGCGAGATTTGCGCCGGCGAAATGGAAAAGTACCGATATTTCTTTAATTTATTATATTATAATAATTTTACAATTACCAAATATTTTTACACAATGTATCTGAAAATAGATAAAGATAAGGCAGTACAGGCAAAGAAAAAACATACTTATGGAAAATCTTGTCGACCACAAGAGATGGCGCCATTCGCGCCAAACCACTAAACCCATTTACTAAATAGAAGAAAAAGTGTTCTATTTTTATTTTCTTTCAAATTTATTACATTATCATTTATTTATATTTAATTTTTCATTAAAAATTTCCATTATTTTTTTTTAAGGAGATATACTGTAAAAGCAAAAGCATTAATGTTGCAATGACATTGCTTCTTTTTAAATAAAGTGCCATTTCATGGCCATTAATACATATTTTTGAGACCAGTAAGATTTCATAACTTTAGAAATATTCAACAGCATGCTCTTCTGTAGTAGGCAGGTCCCAAATTTTAATAATATTTTTTTTCGAAAGTGCCTGATAGAGGGGGGAAAAAAGGAATCTTGGCTGATCTTTGGAATATGGTAACAGGTAGCTTGGCGACATTTTGGAGGCGATGAAGGTTACTACCTAGGACTTTGGTAATAATGTGAGAAGCACTCAGTTCCGATTACGCATTATTTTGTGTGAGGGAAATGAGAGATCATGAGATATGTCATGTGACATTAATGGACGAATTACAGTTCTTTAATCAGGAAAGGGGGTAAATTTGGAAAAATTATGTTGTATTAAGCTTCATTGTGTGTTGAAATAGTGTTGATTAATTTTCGGATTGCATGGCGCTATGTAAAGTGAATTCTAAATTTTTAATACGTAATAATTAATAATAAGTTGACTACTGGATTTCGGATTTAGAAATTAGCAGTAGTACTGCAGCCGATTGGAACTCTTTCTGTAGGGAAGTGTGCGTGCCACGTAATGAAGATTCTGAAGAAGATTAGGTAAGTTAGTATTTTTAATTATTTGAGGATATTATTTTTATGCATTGTTCTAAATGTAAGGAGTAAATAAATTAAAATGGTATTATTGGAAAATTGTTATTAGCAATGATTTAGTTTTTAAAGTAATTAGGATTGTAATCTAATTTTTATTAATTTAATGTATGCGCTTATTTATATTTTAAGTAGTAGTGTTTTTTTAATTTAATTAATATTTTAATTTAATGATCGTGATTTTGTGAGTTATGTGTTTGTAGTATTTTGGAATACGTTTGAGTAGTATACGTTGAGTATTTTCATGCATTTTCGTGAAATTTTTCTTATTTATGAGAAAAAAGCAGTGTACATGGATATAGTGAAGAGTGTGCACAATGCCATTTTTGTGCAATTCTGGGATTTTTTTTAAGTAAAAATAAGTCTACGTGTACATGGTTTAGTGATATTTTAATTAAATGATAGTTATTTTGTGAATTTTATGTTTGTAGGAATTTGGTATATGTTTCAGTTGAAGTAAATGTATATGGAAATAATTTAAATATTTGACACTAAGTATTTGTAACTATTTTTAATGTTTGCATATAAATTCGTTGCTGACGTTTATAATACGTATAATAGATAATTTAGAGGTAAAAGCTTTTGGATATTTTATTTATTTTATACGTGGAAATGTTCATCCTTGGAAAGGGTATATACTTTTTCGCGATCAGGTAATTTCATATATGTGCTTTTTACCGAGTTTAAAGATTAAGAAAATTTTCCTGCATTTTCGTGCAAATTTTGTAATTTATGAGAAAATAGCAGTGTAGATGGATAAAGTTAAGAGTGTGTGCAATGCCATTTTTGTGCAATTCTGGGATGTTTTTTTAAGTAAAAATAAGTCGACGTGTAAATGGTTTATGTATATGTGCTATTTTAAAAAATGTGCAAGGAGTTTGCGATTGTGCACTTTTTCCCAATTTTGCAGTTAATATTTGTCATGATTAAGAATAATAACTAACACGTGTAATCAAGTTTACACCAAACCCAGCGTGTTTGAAGAAGACCTTTTCCATTTGTAGCAAAAAATTGCATAGTCTTGGGTCTTATCTTGAACAGGCAAAAATGGTCGACAGAATTTGCTGCAAGTACCAAAAAAATGACAATGTTTCGATGCATTCATTTTATAATATAAATGCTCATTTTATTTGCTTTGCATGTGACGCTGTCATTTGGTCGGATACATATTTAAAACTTTCACATTGTTCTATGTCTTAAAATTAGAAATTAAAGTTAATAACCTGAAACTGCAATAGTATATTACAGTACACGTGAAAAAAAATTGAGGGTTTTACTCATGCGTGTGTCGGACTTGTGAAATGCTTATGGGGTCCCACAAAATTTCTACAAAGTATTATGGTGCCCTGGGGTCGCGAAAAAAATCTCGGTGATAAAAGGGGTCGCGACTGAAAAGAGTTTAAGAAACCCTGCTCTAGTAAATATGAATAAGGCAGTACACAAATTTAAATATTGATAAACCACTCTAAGACGATACCATAAAATATTTAATCTGTGAGCTATCTCAGTATTTTACCATGCATAAGTTTAAAAGCATTAGCTGCGAGATAATTACTTTTAGACATAGATGGCAAAATTTTAAAAGTGCTATGCAAATGCCAGAAGCTATCTATAAGATCCAAACCTTCAGCTTATATTCACTAAAACCTAATTTGCATTCAACTGAGAAATATGGAAAGAAATTAAAGTAAAGACGGCAGTTATACAGTCAAAAGTCATTAATTCGGACACCCATAATCCGGAATGATCTATAATCTGGACCTCAAAGCTAAAAACTTTCTGCGCGTGCGCCACGTTGACACATGCGCATAGGCGTGTGCGCAAGTGCAGAATACGTTTTCGCGTGTGCGTTTTATGTATAATGGACGGTATAATCTAAAATTATCTATTTTAGTTAATATTGATGATTGCATTGTTCCTTAATCTTCGAATTGGATCCGGCTTATTATTTTTTTCAGACTGTAAGAGCAATTTTATAAAAGTAAACTTGAACTTTCGATTATGTCAAATAGAATTTCCGATTCTGGAGCTCCCAAAGGATCGTACAAAATGAAAGTATGTTTCGATGTCCATCAAACAAAAAGTGGAATTGCTGCAAAAAATGGGTAAAGACATGAAGAATGTGACAGAGAGGTTAGTGAAAATGAAAAAATTTCGATTGACAAGTTAGTCGGTATTCTCGGCACAACAATTAACGGGACTTGAACAGCGAAACTTTGTAACTGAACAAGAAATTGTGTCTGTTTATAGAATTAAAGAGAAAGTATTATCACATAAAACGAAGCAACTTAAAACAACTTACATTGAAAGAAATGTTTAATAAAGTAAACAAATAAATATTAAGCTTTTTTTTTTGTAAATTTTGATACCCTTTAGATTATAATTGTTCTTTATTTCATAAATTAAGGTTTCATATTTTTAATTTTAGAATTTCTGCATGCCATCTTACGAGATTTAAACTGATGATCTATAATCCAGAAAAATTTATAATCCGGAATCGCCGAAGTCCCGACGAGTCCAGATTAACGACTTTTGACTGTAGTAACTGGTTAGTTTAACATAAGAATCATACGTGATGTACAGGTTTACAAAATGCATTATCTACATAACTTATGTTTACTATACAATAGATTATAGGATGGTAGCAACATATTATTTGATATACAGTCAAAAGTCTTTAATCCGGACTCGTCGGGACTTCGGCGATTCCGGATTATCGATTTTTCCGGATTATAGATCATCAGTTTAAATCTGGTAAGATGGCATGCAGAAATTATAAAATTAAAAATATGAAACCTTAATTTATAAAATAATGAGCAATTATGATCTAAAGGGTATCAAAATTTACCAAAAAAGAAGCCTAATATTTATTTGTTTACTTTATTAAACATTTCTTTTAACGCACGGATGCATACCTTACTCATAGCCGAAATTATAAAATTGCAACCAGAAAACTATGTGATTTGTATTCGTGAAATTTATAATGAAGAGGAATTTGATTTAAATCATATCAAAGACGAAGTACATCGAAATTAAATACTACATTTAGTAAAGAATTATAAAGCCGACTAAAATAAAAACATCTGCCCTGAAGATAACGATAGTGTTGACAGATCAACTTCCAGTTCATTGCGCGCCGCGACGTGCCCCCCCCCCCCCCCGCAGAGCAGCGTGAAATTGATAAACAGATTTCGGAACGGTTAGATAAACAAAGGATATGCTTTTATCCATTTTTTGTAGCAATTCGTTTTTTGTTTGATGGACATCGAAACATACTTTCGTTTTCTAGATCCTTTGGGAGCTCCAGCATCGGAAATTCTATTTGACATAATCGAAAGTTCAAGCTTACTTTTAGAAAATTGCTCTTACAGTCTGCAAAAAATAATAAGCCGGATCCAATTTGAAGATTAAGGAACAACGCAATTATCAACATTAAGTGAAATAGATAATTAGATAATTTTAGCTTATACCGTCCATTATACATTAAACGCGCACGCGAAAATGTATTCTGCACTTGCGCAGATGCATATGCGCAGTCGTAAATGCCTTGCGCGAACGAGTAAAACGCCTATGCGCATGCGTCAATGCGGCGCATGCGCAGAAAGATTTTAGCTTTTAGGTCCGGATTATAGATCATTCCGGATTACGGGTGTCCGAATTAACGACTTTTGACTGTATTATGATTATCTTCTGAAAAATATTCATGAGGCACTATGCTGTATCTCCAGAATAGGCAACCATGACATTACCAAAATTTATTTATTTGGCAACTGAAAACAAAATCTTGTATTTGCTTAGGACCTCTTTAAGTTTTAATTTCGTCCTGTGTGCATATTTTAACATTTTCATATCTGATTATGAAATATCTGCATATTCAGTTTGAAAATTTTTGGACTATTTTTTGAAGTATACAGTTTTTTTTGGGGGGGGGATTTTACTTATTACACCATCGACCTTGAAAGTTAGTTACCATCAAATCATGAAAACTGGTGGAGATCCTACCAAAGTTATGCCAGTCATTCCTGCAGAATTCTGGAGGAACAGATGTCTCTTTATTTAATAAATAACCAGTATTCAACCTGCTTCTGTTTTGTGTTTCATAAGAAGGTTTTCGTCCATTTCTACCATTTTTTTATGCCCTCTGTTTAGTGTGATGTGAGTACAAACTTCCCAAAGGTTAATTGTTTGAATCTGTTATTGTTTTGTCGATCTTGTTCAGCTAACCATATCCTGTTCATTAATACACACTTTTTTTAGGCTAGGAGTGCATAATTTTAAAATTAATCCACTGCTTATTCTATAGAAGACAGGTTACATATTTATCAATGTTTTTCAAAACGGATGAAAAATACAGCAATAATAGTTAATTTATATCATTTTTTTTATAAAAACAGCTTGTTGAGACTCAATCAGGGATATAACAAAGAAAATGCATATGGTTATAAGTATGCTGGTATTATATGCTTATCAATTACTGGTAATGAATCATGCTGCTTGTCAACAGTTTCATAGTCGATGGGACATAGAGCTTGTGCCTTTGACTGGGATAGTGGTTTTTGACTCTGACCGCCGTTCCAAAGGGCCCAGGTTCAAATCCTGGAAAAGGCATGGATATTTATAAATGTATAGTGTCTGTGCAGGGGGGGGGCATTAAAAGATGTGCCAAGTCGAAAGTACTCTCGAGAGGTTGGTAGTGAGGAAGACAGATGGGAAACCTTCTGATCCGTGCCCCTCCCCAGGTGCTGTGTCAAAATTTGGGGTGGAACTGAGTTGGTCTGTCACCTGTATGGTGATCAAAGCTCTTTGCCAATGGCAGATGCATTTGACTCCTTGCCACAATGAATATCATGGGTTTGTGCTGACCATTGTAAGACAAGTGAGATTGGTAATAACAACAACAAACGTAGACCTTGCATAAATGAAAATGGAAAAAAAAAAAAATAGTTATCAAATTTTCAGTTTAGAAAGAAAATTTGGATAATCTTTAGAATATGGTAACAGGTAGTTAGGCGACATTTTGGTAACACGATAAAGGTTACTAGCTAGGACTTTAGCAGTGTACATGGATAAAGTCAAGAGTGTGCGCAATGCCATTTTTGTGCAAGTCTGGGATGTTTTTTTTAAGTAAAAATAGGACGACGTGTACATGGATGATACCATGTATGTGCAATTATTAAAAACGCGGCAAGCAGTGGGCGATTCTGCACTTTCTCCCAATTTTGCACCTAATATTCATCATGATTAAGCACTTTTGTTCCATAAAAGTTCTAGCATAAGCCGTAATTCAGCTAGCAGATTGTTAGGAAAAAAATGTTGAGTTAAAAAAAAAAAAAAACCTGCCTTTACTTCGTGAAAACAAAATGGCGTCCAAAACAAAAGTAGCAGGTTGCTGTAGCAAAGTTGGTCGCCAAATTTTTGCCAAAAAATCATTAAGTTACCATAATTTAAAGATTAACCAAAAATTCTTAATGGAAAAAGATTTAGAAAGAAAATTCTTAATGGAAATATGTAGATGTAAATCTCTTCATTTTCATGAAATGCATTATCAGTGTAGCTGAGATGACTTTAAAATAATAATTTTGAAATTGATTTTTATTTTTCAACAATATGATTTAAAAATACCTTGCTAACTAAATTGGTAAAACTAATTTTGTGTTATAGAATTTTAATGCAGAAATATTGTTGATAAAGTACTGTAGGTTGTGATATTTTTTTCTTTTTTAAGCTTTCAAAGAATCGTGAGAAATTAAAAGAAGAACATATAAGAAGTTCTAATATATATCATTTGTCAGCTATAGTTAGAAGCTGCAATGAAATGCAAGGAGTTATTAAAGTCTTGGAAACTTTTTCTTATATAACTGAAGAAAATGAAGGTTATGTTTATGAGGATTCACTTGTTGTAGACATTGTTGCCGATTTTGGGAATACATGGGTGAAAGTTGCCACTCGTAACCCACATCATTTGTATCAAGCATCAGTTGGTAAGTAAACTTATGTGATATAAATTTGTTTTATATTGTATAATCTGTATCTTATGACTTTCACACAGATGTATTGATTAGTTACACTATTCTAAATTTGAGCATGTAATGTACTATAGTATCCCTACTAAGTTTTACATTCGGTAATATGAATTGTTTTTTATTTATATTTTACATAAATTGTAAGATCTTTAAATAAAAATTAATGTAAGTTTTGTGATAATTATTGAATTATGAATTTATTCTTTCTTCTTTTCTATATCTTAATAAGATAGTAAGAAATATTAGATATGATTTAAAGAAAATGTAATTTAAGATGTTCATAGTATTAATGCTGTAGTACATATATTATAAATAAAGATGTTAAACCTTTAAATAATTATTTATGTAGTGAATATCCATGCATACCTTTGCTTTTTCATCATTTCTAGTTAAAGTGTGTTTAACCTTATACAGTCCGAAATCCGGACTCGTCGAAACTTCGGTAATTCTGGGTTTTGGGATTTTTCTGGATATTAGATCATCAATTTAAATCTGGTAAGATGGCATGCAGAAATTATACAATTATAAATATGAATTCATAATTTATGAAATAAAGAACAATTATTATCTATAGGGTACCAAAATTAAAAAAAAAAAGCACTTAATATTTATTTATTTATTTGTTTACTTTATTAAACATTTCTTTCAATGTAAGTTGTTTAAGTTGCTTTCACAAAAAATTAAAAAAGTTCCTTTTTCTTTTTCCTTATGTCATATACAGTTGACTTTCCAATGCCATACTCCTTGCATAATTTTGAAACAGATATACCTTTATCCATTTTTTGCAGCAATTTCACTTTTTATTTAATAAACATCAGAACATGGTTTTGCTTTCTAGATCCTTTGGCAGCTCCAAACTTGGAAACTCTTTTCGACATAATCGAAAGTTCAAGCTTAGTTTTTATAAAATTGCCATAATATTAACAGTCTGCAAAAAAGTAAGCTGGATCAAATTAAATTTGGGAGCAGTGCAGTCTGCTACATTAATTGAAATGCCTTAGAATCAATAAAGTTAATTTTAGCCTAGCTTAATAGCATCTGTTATACATTATTGGCTGTGTTGTTACAAGATTGGCAATGAAAGCCAAGTAGTTTCGCTAAATTTTGTCTTGCTCCTATTGCATACTGAATTAAGTCTGAATTGTATTAGTTTAGTTATTTACTATACCTACATTTATTTCTTGCACATGCTTCAAACTAATCTGAGTCCTGAATAAATTAACTCCCACATATAATCTAGCTTATCTAGCTTTATCTAGGGCCGGTGCTATATACCGCCTGGTGCAGTCTCTGCGGGTCCTAAAGTCTGGTAGCAAAGCACCTTAAATTCTAAATTTTCACCACACCTAAAGTTTGGATCCTAGTGCTTTCCCTAAATCATAAAGAACTTCTCATCCCTTAATTTTGCCACTTGGTGCTTTCCCAAATTCCAAAAATTTTGCCTTCCCTAAATTCTGCCATCCGGTGCCAACATATTCTGCCGCCGCTTCTGGGTTTATGGTGAATAACATATCAGTTATTCTTAATTAAACCAGCACTAAATGTAATCTTTTGGCATATGAATTTAAATAGCATATGAAAAGAAATTTTTGTTTAATTTTTCCTCGTCAACATTTCTTAGAACATTTAAAAACCTATAATCATCGCAAAGCATAATGTTAGCATAAAAGGTTGCCATACTCTTGTTATTCAATTACTAATATAAAAAAAAGTTTAGACATCACTGCATGAGTTATTACTGAAGCTGTCATGTATTGATAAACATGCAGTGATGAAAGCAAAATATAATAAATAATGACTTGCCAGATTGGCGTCAGGGATATAAAATAGGTGAATGTTTCGGTTTGAGATGTATGCCAAGCAGATACTCGGCTATGGAATCAAATTATTAATCTCACAAATTTATGCTTACATGATTGTTTTTCCATAACGAGGTATTTTATTTAGTGCTTAAATGAAATTAAGAATCAGAATTTTGAAGTGAAAATCTCCACATGTTTTATTGTGGAAGGAAAAATCAAATGCGCGTGCATAAAGCATACAAAAAAAAAAAAAAGTGTTTGGATTTTAGATCATTCCGGATAATGGTCGTCCGGATTTTGGACTTTGTACTGTATATATAATTGTATTTATATGTAAAGATTATTCACCTTTAGCAGCTACTCTAAATTTTTTATTACACCATTTAAAATTTTCAAATATTAGCAGTAAATTATGTAAAATATTTTATTATAAAATATTCAGAAGTATTGTATTATATGGAAAGAATATGTTTTGTTTGCAGTTAAAAGTTTACCGTACTTTCAACCCTTTATACAGGTCATGGGAAATATGGGCGGAAATCAATTGTTGAACAAGTTCAGGATATGGTGGAATGTGCTTGTCAGAATCAACATATGTTTACTATTCCCAAAATAGTTGTTCGTTTAGCAGCTGGTGTTACAAAAGAATTGAAAGCACTCTTGGAGGAATTAAATGTTTTGGTGATTGGAGATGTAATCAGTTCAGATACTGATGCTACTTCAACTGATGCAGCGTCCCAGCTTACGAATAAATTAGAAAAATTTGATTTTAATAGTGAAGAAGACTTAAGTTCAATCTCGAGTGAGAAATTTGTAGTAGACCATAGTGATGAAAGTAGTTACTTCAATATGCAGGCCTTACCATCTGATGCAATACTTAACCTTGATGTATCAACATTTTTAGCTTATGTGTCAAACATGACAAATGGACATTGTCATGCAAAATATAGTGAAAAACTTTTGACAGATTTAGCAAAGATGGAGCAAGCTCGCCCTGTAAAAATAATACTTGATCAGCTATTTAAAGGTATATTATTCTGTTATTTGTAACTAATTTTTATTTTAATTAAGAATTTATGCAGTGCTACAAGAAAATATGAGTATATTGTGCTTTTCTTAATATTTTTTAAATAAAGTTCAAAATAAATTGATATGTAATATTGGAGAATAAAATAATACAGCTTACTATCTAAAAAGCAGATGAAATGTTTGAATTGTCATTTTATATTTTAGTTTTCATTCCTGTTATTTTCAGCATTTTAAGGACTAAAACAGTAATATAACTTTAACTTAATTTAATGCACGTTTTCTGACTGAAAATTTCTGACTGCATTCATAAAAATCAATGTATTGGAATTTAGGGGCCAATTTCGAACGTATTATGGCCATTTAGTCACTTATTTTAAATAAAAGGAACAGAAAAACAAATCGACAGGGACTTGCACTTCCTAATCCATATTAAGGAGTAAATTTTAAATCTCCATAGTTTACTGAAATTTCTTGACACATTTAAAGTCATAAAAGTGTGGGACATATATGTCCCAGCCCCCTGGAAAAGGTTAAAGAGGTAAACAAGTAACTAATCTTATATTACTTTTTAGGTCTTGTATTACTGCATAACTTTCTTTTCTTTTTTAAGTGAAGGTCACTAGAAAAATAAAAATGACTGCAGTATTCATATTTTTGTATAGGAATGAAACCACCATTAAAATATATATTATTAATAATTTTCTTACCTTTGATAATTACCAAAATAGTATTGCCTGTTAATACTATAATGTACTAGCTTGCACTCATGTTAAATGATGTATTATTAATCTGAAAGATTTATAAATTACGAATGAATTACCAGTTTTCAGTACCAATATTTTTATTTTTCTTTCTCTGAAGGAAAAACTGTCTTGAAAATCTCAATTTATTATATAAATAGAAGGCAGATTTATATTTATACTATTAATACATATATTATAATTAGCACTTTAGGATATACATCTAAATATTGACTTTTGGTGACTAGGCATGAAAGTAGCGAATAGAGTGCACCTTCCCTTTGTGTTGTTACCTATGAATACAATAAGATAAGTTTTAAGGACAGAAAGAAACAGATTCTCTTCTGACAAAATGTACATATTTTAAGTCTTAAGTAAAGATTAATATTTTAATGTGTATGGAGTCAATTGGATGTCTTTGACGAGGATATAAATCATGCCATAACTACAGGCTAAGTAAAAAATATATTGTTCAGATTTCAGAGCAAATACAAATCTTAAATTGGCTACTATATGTGCAAAAGTCCACTGTCACTGCTTTATTGGATACCCATATTAATCTTTTTGATTTCTTGCCATTTCAATCAGTATGCCATTTAGTGAAGGTTGGTTGTGAAACCACTGGGCTTTTGTGTAACTATCAACCGTACCTTGTGCTACACTCAGGCATACTCTTATAATTAAGTGACAAAGTGAATGATGAGTTTAACCATCCTGAGACAAATACTGTAATTGACAACTGCTCGGCCATTCTGTGAAATGTGGAGTCGAGTACATCTGTTGATATTATTTAAAAACAATCTCTTTAAAAGTAAATAATACTTTTGGTATGCCATTAAAAGAATTATCAGGGAAGGAGTTTTTTATTAATTTGGCAGGGGGGAAAACAAAAATTTGTTTTCACTGGACATTAACAAAATTTTTCTCTATAAATATGTTTGGGAAAAATAAAGAGAAAAAACTGAAGTGGTTATTTACTTATTCAAACAAAAATATTAATATGTATCACAATGTATTGGTTACATTGTTTCACATAAACTTGGTGAAAACCTTCAGATTTTATCATTTGATTTAATACGTATATGCCAAGTTGATTCAATTAAAAATTATTCTTAAAATTTAATTCCAGACATATACAAGAAGATGTTTATCACCTGTTACTGAAAAATATTTTGCGTTTAATCATTCTTAACAGGTCGGAAATTAGTTTGTTGTGAAACAGCTTATAGAGATTTCTTGGAGATTCTTTCAACAGTTGGCGGTGAAGCTGAAAAACAAAGAGCAAATGAAATGCTAAAATATGTAACAGTAGTTCCAGACAATCCTTCACCTAAAGCCCTTTCTTTGGAGAAAACAAGCAAGATTAAAGAACGTTCTAAGGTATTTGAAAATCTATATTATTAAAAAATTTTGTATTGTGATATTGTAATGAAAAACCTAAATTGTTGAGTAAGCCCTTTTTATGTCAACCAACTAAAAAAAATTGTAGTTGAGATTCAAAAATTGTTGTGTGAGAAGTTCACTATTCTTCATTTTTTTTTGTGCTTATTTACATAACTACATTTCCATTAACTACTTATTAATTTTCTTCACTTTTTTATCTTTCTGCATTCAAATTAAATTATTTGAAAATTTTAAATTAAAGTTTTTGAAATTTTTAAATGTTTTTGGATCTTTTTCAGCATTTATATTTTCCTTATTAAGCAATAATATCCAATACTTATTGTTGATAATTTATCTAAAATGGGGGAATAGAAAGAATTTGGGTAGAAACAATATTTTATAAAAAAAATAAATGGCAATTTAATAATTTCTGGCATAAGGTAGGGGAAGGGATGTTGTGGAACGCAAGGTTATTGTCATAAACATGTAATTACCACTAGTTTATGAATTCTCCTTAACAATATTTTCAATATATCTGTTTCTGTGTGATAGAAGCATACATGATTAAATGGTACACAATTCAAAATTTTATGCACCACATGAAGTAACTTTTAATTGCAAGGAAATTTTGACAATATAATATTTAGGCTTCAAAACTTTTATTTATTTTGGTGATTTTCCATGTTTCCTTGAATTTGATATCTTGACAATGAAATTTTGTAGTCGATATCTTTGAGAAATTTTATTTAAATATTTATTAGGTTATAACAAGGTTAAATTATTAAAATTTTGAATTTGTGAAATTCTCATAAAATATATTTATTTATTTTTAATTCATGAAAAAGTACTACATTTATACAAGAATATATATTTTGATAGAATTAATTATGTAATGATATATGCAACATCTGTAAGTTTAATACAGAAAAATTTCTGAGTTTGGTATTTGTTACAGTAAAACCGAACTTGCACGAGCCAACACCTGTATAACTATTTTGTTATGTTTATTTCCAAAATCGCAAAATGACGTAGTTATAAAACTTACTCCACTTTTCCAGTCCCGATTTAATAGAAAATTTTTTGTACTGTGTCATTTTGATCTGGTATTCTCATTTTATTTTTATGACAAAAACTTTAGTTTCTAAAACTTATTCTATAAGCATATTTTGACAACATTGGAAGACAATGCCTATTCTAAGTTTCCTTATTAAAATCTTCTGACCATTATTATTAGTAATGTCACACTAGATCTGGTACTTTTCATTGTTTTTAATGTTCTGCTACATTTACTATGAGATCTAGTACTTTCTTCGTAATGAGTAACAACATTAACAACAAATAAGAGAGTTAGTTATATGATAATGACATAGTATATGATCTATCACTTTTAGTTAATTATTTATTTCTTAGTTGGCAGTGTTGAAACACTATTATTAAGTATGAAAATAAATACAAATAATTAAGAACAGATGTATGAAAATTATTCATTAATTTAATTACCTATTAAAATTTGTTAATTTAAATTTATTCTATTAAATTTAAATTCTTTACAATTTTGCAAAACAAAAGGAGTGGCTGTTTATAGGGCCATTTTTTATGAGTAATCCAGCCATATAAATTATGGATATTGCACAGCATGGTTAAAAAATAAGTCATCGCTTTTATGAATGGATCTTCGCTATGCTTTTGTGAGATAATGTGGATGCATTTGCAATGCTTCCATATTCCCACTTTGCATGCTGTGTAAAATTTAACTTCAAAATAACCTCCTCCCCATTCATTAAAATGTTTCAGGATTGAAAATTTTGTCAACCCTGCAGCGGGTACTAATACTAATAATACTAAAGGAAATGTTTGAAACAACTAATTTTAGTGGTATCATTTAAAAAATAAACTGACTAAAAATATTACATAGTTACCCATAAGACTTCATATCTTGTTACAGTAGAAATTGCTGGTTGGCAAGTTAGATGCACAAAAAGTTATCTCAATTAAGGCACATATTTCTTTTTCATCCACTGAACCGAAAACCATAAATCTAAATTTAGATTACAATATTTTGTTGAATGTTTCTTTTGTTTACTAATTTTATCATGAGAAATACAATGATCAAGAAATATTTTATGAAATCCTAATATATTTAAAGTAATACTAGTTAAAAAAATAAAGCTTATTATTTTTAGTTGTAGAAAATATGCGGAAGGTGTAAGAGAAAGTAGAAGCTTCTCTGATATGAGTTTAGATGAGCAAGAAGTTGCAGCAAGAGACATAAGACACTTTAAGATAAAATATATGTCCATTTATTTTGAGTTTTTAATAAAATTTTCAAAGGAGTAGATCCTGTATTAAAAATATAGTAATATAGGATTCTGAAATGTGAAAATCAAACTGGGTTTGTATTATAATAATGCTATCTTGCTTTCAGACTGAGTTTGCATTATAATGCTATCTTACATTTTCCTATAGAAGAAAATAGCTATAAAGATCTTGATAAAGAAAGGCATCTATCATCTGTCATAGTTGAACAACTATTATCTAATTTTACAATGTCCAATTAAGAATAAATTGTTTCTGCTGCATTCATCATTAGCAGCTGAAAGAATATTTCTAGCATTGATGATAAAAATAGGATAAGGAAATGGAATATTTTTGCTGAGTGATCACCTTGCTGCTCACGTACAGTATAATAAATATTTTAAGTGATTGAGAATTTCATTCTAAAGAATAAAATCTAAATCTTTCTTGTAATGTTGCTTATTCTTACACTTGCACATTTAAATTGTTTTCTGTTTTAATTAAATTAGTTTAGAAATAGACTTGCAATTTGGAATAATATAAGAGATATGCTTCAATTATATTTAAGCATTTAATACTATATTTCTGTGATTATTTTTTATGTCAAAGATTTGAGCATTTAAAAGCATATCCCTATGAAAAACTACATTGAATTAAGAAAATAATAAAAGCAGAAAGTCAAGATAAATAATCATTACTGGTGAAAACTTCTTTCAGTAAAACATGAGGCATATCACAGACTTCTTTTAACTTTCCTTGATGCATCATTTCTAAGAAAGCCTGAGAATGAAATACTCTGGAGATAATTATATAGCCTATATAAAATTCATTATTTTCATTTGAAGTTATTATTACATTATGTTTGAGATAACCGCAGTAAATCTATTTTCATTTTCTCTGCAGTTAAATCAAATGAAAATTTTCAATTATTTGTGATATTTTATGAATGCGAAGATGACATAAGTTGAATTTTATTTCAGATTGTTTTTGGTACTGGAGATATGATGAAAGCTGTTACTGTAAGTGCAAACTTAGGATTTTTGCGAGCTGCAAGGTCCCAGGTAAGGAAGGCAGAATGATAAGTTTAGTTAATGTGGTTTCTTAGTGAAAATTAGAGAGTATTGAAATAATAAGTTTACATTTTATACACTTACATATTGTGATCTCTTTTAATGAAAGTTACAGGTTAGGGACATGTTTAGATTTACATATAATTGTTCAGCTATAAAATAGATTGAATACAGTTCCCTTTGAAAGGATTATCATACTTTCATAACAAAAATTGTATCAAATTAAAATTCATGAACAGGATATGGAATAAATGATATGAAATACCAAAAATAAAAATGCAATAGTTTCTAAAACAATGCTGTATGTTCAAATTAAAATTACTGTTTTCTTTGTCATCCCTGCATTGTATATCATTTTAAAAAATAAAATTTTTTGCTTTTTATTCTAGGGTATGAAATTTGTTGCATTTGTTCATGAATCTAGAGCTCTTACAGAATGCAAAGAACTTAAGGGTGAAGACATTTCTTGTAATTAAAATAAGTTATTTTTAAATAAATAAGAGAAAACGTCTTTCCATTTTCATTAATATTTTTAATAACTCGGGCTTTTCTGTACATTTCTCTCTCTAAAATTTTATAGGAAAAAAAAATTACATCGGAGATTTAAAACAAGTTGCTTTATACATTATATTGAATTTATAAAGTACAGATTCACATTACAAAGCTGTAATTAAACTCTCTTAAAATGGCGTTAAGAACAAAATTTTTCCTGTATTTTGTTGTACTTCATGTTATTTTTCACAAATAAGCAAAAATGAATCCTAAAAAATATAAATTGTTTCATATGTTGCAAGTATTTTTATCTCCTTGTTGTGCATGCGATCAACTATACATATTTTAATTTGTTTAGTGCTGTATATCATCCAGATGGGTAAACAAGTTTCTAAAAAATATTAAACTATATAAATATGAATGTAGTTTAAGCTTCATACTTAGTTCCCAAGTTTAAACATTTTTTGTAACTAAATGCAGATGGTTTTTATAAAGACATTTAGTTTGAATGGGAAACCTTTTTCATTAAAGTACATTCTTTCTGACTTTAAAATAGAGTTATGCAATGAAAGTTCTTCAAAGAGTTATATAGGAATTATATATATACAAAAAGGCATTCCATACAGTTGTTAGAAATGTAATATTATGTTCATTAACAGTTACAGTGGGTATTGCTTTGTAAAATCTCTGCTTTATAAAATCAAAACCCAAGGAATGAAAAAGGACATGAGGGAGAACTATAAACATTTTTTTTTTTTTATTTTGCTCATACAGTTCACTCATCTACATCATGCTTTTGTTGTTTGGACATACCTCAAAATGTCCATATGCAAGGACTTAATTTTAAAAGATTGCCTAGATTGATCAGTTCAAGAAAGAATTGTTAAAGCAATATGATGCTTTACTGAAATGCCACTTGTGTGAAGCTTATGTACAATTCAGAATTTCACTATCTGCTTTATGTGCATTGTTGAAAAGAAGGGAGGCAATTTTGGATGAACTGATGATAAGTGCAAATATCTCATGTAAGCAAAAGTGAAGTAGAGAGTCTACCAATGTAGAAACTGCTCTCTTTGAGTGGTTTCACTATGCCAGGAACAATACTGCCATGATGTCACAAGAAATTCTGTATTAAAAGACAACAGAATTCGCCAAAATGCTGAGAGAGGAGTTTGTTGCTACTGTTGGATGGCTCACAAGATGGAAAGAAAGAAACAATGTCATTTTCAGAAAATTACATGGAGAGAAACAAGATGCAGACTCTAATGAAGCCGAGAGAATGAAAAAGAGATAAATTGGATAGAAAAACAATTCAGCCAGACTTTTGCCAGAATACAAACTATGTCAAATATTTAACACTGATGAGACTGGTCTTTATTATCGACCTACCTCAGCACACTTTAACCCATTGTTGCATACAAATAATCTAGAGAAGTTAAACGAAAATGTTTGTATTTTTTCTACTTAAAATAACCTTAGTAATCGTGAAAAAATTAAATTTATTCAAATTTTGTTTTAAATAATTGCTACAGTTTGTTCACTACAGTGGACAGCATGCATATACGTACATGCATACAAATCTCTTCCCAACAATTTACAGTCATTGCATTTGAAATCATTTCCTGTCTTGTTTGCAGTGATTATTACCATCTTTTAAATGGTAAATCTACAACTCGCATGTACATACAGATCCCCCAAAATACCTTCATTTCATCGATTGTGACTGAATTCATTTTGCTACGATTTTGTAACCTGTACCTATTGGATTCAGATGTCAAATGTTCTAGAAATTCCTTGCCAAACATAAACATTTTCAGTGGTGTTTTGGCTTGATAAGCAATATATTTGGGTTTCAATTCACTCTTTTCAGTAGATCTTTATCTACCCACTCCACAATTTTCTCAAACTGACATATTGAAATAAAATGTCTAAAATTACTAATTATGAATAAAAAATGGCAGTATAAGAGAATATAAGCAATATTATATTTTACTATGAGAAATTTTACTAACTTGGAAACAGAAGTAGCAGCCATTTTCGAAATAGTAATGCTATACAGCCATCTATGATTGACAGTTGAAAGTTCTAATAATATAGAATAAATAAACACAGGAATGGAATATGTTAAGGCATTTACAGAAGAATAAACAAATTTAAACTTTTGTCTACTAGAGTGGACATGATGCAACAAAAGGTTAATGTTTAAAAGTGAGCCGTCAGCTGGCTGTAAAACTATGAAATATGTTACAATGTTATTAATGTAATATAGATGGAACAGTTAAAAAGACTCCATTAGTCATCGCTGCAAACAAAAACCTTCATTGTCTGAAGGGCAGCAAGCATTTGGATTTGACTTATTTCATGCTAAAAAAAAAAATGCTTGGATGACCAGCAATGTTTTTAGTGATTTTCTTATGAAGTGGGATAAAGAACTTCAGCTAGAAAAAGTGGAATTCTTGTTAGATAAATGCATTGCCCATTCAACTGATATGTCATTAACAAACATAAAATCAGTTTTCCTTCCTGCTAATACACCTGCATTCTTCAGCCATTAGATCAGGGTGTTATAAAAGCGTTCAAGAGTTATTACAGGAAGGAAGTGGTTCAGAATGTTATTAATGAAACTGATACAACTGATGCAGTTTGTTCTTCTAAGGACATAATAAGTTGATTTATCTCTTAGATGCCATGCTCGTTATTTTAAGTGTGTGGGAGGAAGTAACTTCGCAAGTGGTTTCAAATTTTTTGAAAAAGGCCAGCTTCCATCCAAAGCAAATTTCTGGAAAGTCTTGAGATGTGCTAGAAGATAAGGGTGATGATGAAGAAATGCATGATGAGACCTTCCTTAAATATTTCGGACTCAATGAAAATATCCAGACTTGCTGAGAAAATTGTGATGTAGTGGTCATCGAAGTTATTGGAAAAAACAAAGGAATTAGTGAAAATGAAAGTGAGTCCAAAGATGGAAATCTTGATCCTGTACCAACAGCAGCAGAGTTTCGACAAGTATTAAAAATTTCAAGGGCTTGAAGTTGGAGGTACACAAAATTATAATCAATGTTGTGTCTTGCCGAGCGCCACTGAAAAGCTTTCAACAAGAAATATGCAACAGACTTGGATGGATAAATTTTTAAATAATGTTTGATTACACTTGCATTGTTCTGTGCAACATGTTGAAATAATTATAATTTTTCTGAATTAAGACAGCCGTTGTCATTTATAGAAAAAATAATTAAAGTTTTATAAAAAAAAAGTATGTGTAACTTACATATTAAACAGCATATCAAAAAAGACTATTAATCTCAACAGCAGGGCTGTATGCAAGGCGTGAGAGGTTCACGTACATGCACATTTCATTCATAAAAAATTATTGAAATCTTGTATAAAATAAGTTTATTTTTATATCCAACCTTGTATCCCTAATTGAAACAAAATCTTGTGTGTGGCCCAGCACTGCATATAAAACTGAACCGCAGTGTAAAATCAAATGAGGTCAGAATGGATGTGATCATATTAAGCAGTACCCACTGCACATACAATTCTGTGCATGGGGTATTGTAGTAAATGGTGTAATGATGAAATATAGGAATTCTTTACTTATTTCCTATGTGGTAGATACACGCATGAATGTTTTACACTGTTATCATACCAAAAGCTTTCATTTTGTATTTTTGCATAAGAAACTGAAGTCATTCTTGTTGTTTGTGTTAACAGGTTGTTACTGTCATTTGTTGGTGTTGGACCTAGCTAGTGTTGAGGTGCCTTTGCTGATCTATTAGGTTTAGTTAATTATTTTAATGGTGATGTTAGCTAACAGAGGGTACCTGTGAAGTGCTGTTCATCTGGGCTTCTGCTGCCGTCAAGGAGAGATTCTGTTATTTTCCACTTCATAGTATAATTTATGATTTGTAAAAGCATCATAGTATGACACTTTTACGTAAAAGCATCATAGTATGACACTTTTACGTAAAAGCATCATAGTATGACACTTTTACGTAAAAGCATCATAGTATGACACTTTTACAAATTACTCCAAAAATTTATGTCATTGGAGTAAGCCATTAATAGCAATGTCTTTCGTGAGCGATGCTCACAGTGCTCTCACACGAACCTGCAAGAGGATTGCTGATTGATGCTCATTCCCTGTGCTTTTGGTGTTTTGCCCGTACCATTATTTGTGGTTATTGAATAGAAGTGTGTTGCAAGAGTCCCATTATCCTTGGGATTCTTTCATTTTTGTCATCTTTTATTGAAATATTTACAAGTGTTTTATCCTAATGTACAAAATTTTGATTAATAGTTTCTTCAAAAATTATGCGCCCTCAGGGGGCTCACTTTTGTGAGTACGGGTGTGGCAATCCTGAGGTACCCTAGCCCTTCAGGGGATCATCTTCTTGATGAGACGGGTGTCACGATCCTGGAGCCCCAGTGATCTATCCTCTTTTCCGTCTCCTTTCCTCTTGGCTGGAACTTTTTCCCTTCCCTTCTCCCTTGTGGTTTCTCTCTACGGAGTTTGGGGCTCGTCACGAGAGGCTGGAACAGATCTTGTTTCTAGTTTTCGAGTGGCGAGAAAACTGCCCACGTGGAGACCCGTGTCGCTGGAAAGGAGGGTCCTGGTAGTTGAGGGGCGAGGTACTGTCCCCAACACACTACTTTGGCCTCTGCTTCAGCTAAACGGGAGGCACCTTAGTCGTCCTCACGGGTGTCAATCGGCTGGTCACTAGTCCTTGTGTCAGTGGCTTGGGGTCAAGCTCTCGGGAGTACCTGCTTTCGGGAAAGCCGACTGTGGGGCTTCAGTTTGCGTATAGGTCCGGCTAGCCCTAACACAGGACGAATCTTATATTCTTCAATCATGGCTAACTCTCACATTTACCTCATTAAAGATATCGAAGTAACTCCAGTTACTCAAGTCGCTCAACCTAATTCCGAAAAATCTACTGTTAAAAAAACTACGATACAGATGAAAAACAATACAAATAGTACCCTCGTTTCGTTGTTATCTCTAGTCCTTCTGGTGAA